GGCTTTGAGCACCCTGGTCTAGTGGAAGGTGTCCCTGCCCATGGCAGGGGGGTTGGAACTAGATGATCATTAAGGCCCCTTCCAACCCAAACAATTCCATGATTCTCTGATTCCCGGCCCGCCCTAAGGCTGTGTTCACAAACTGGCACAACACTGGCAGTTGCTCTCCCTTTACAGCAATGAGCAAGGTGCTGTTTACTGTTCCCCAATCCACAAAATTTTAAAATGAAAGGAGAGGCTTCTTCCATCATTTTTCACTCCCTGGGTTGTGAGACCTTATGGTTAATGCTCCGTGGCTGGTCTGCAGTTCACGTGCAACAGCACCTGGCCTGACTTCGTGTAAGGTTCGTATCCAGCCCCTGTCTGGGGGTCCCAGACCCAATTTTGGTCCCAGACAGGGACCAAAGCAGCCCCTGTCTGACGGCACAGCTGCTTAGTGACCTGTATTCTCATCAGCACCCAAGCACTGCGATTTTCAGTCACATTATCCTCCTTTACAATACTCCAGATGTTTACAAATCGAGGACTTACCTGTTTAGTGAGAACGAAGTAGGCATAGAAAGCCATGGCACTGCCGTACGTGATGAAGTAGGTGACCGGCTCCATGATGTCCCAGGAGTAGACCCACCACGTGAGCCATGCCAGTGCTCCCCCCTGAGCTGACATCAGAGCTAAGCCCACCCACAGAAGCCTGGAGGTCTTTGCATTTGCACCGTCCGTGATTCTGGCTTTCATCTGCGGGAAAGCGATAGACAAACCTGGTCACGCAAAGGTGAGGCAACTGAGGAGCGGCTCCTCAACTCCGTTTTCTCCTGCTGGGCTAGATCCTCTGTCAGGATCTGGTACTGACTCCTCTTACCGACCCACCCAGCGGAGAAAGAAAAGGGCTGCAATGCAAAGGAGAAGGAAAAGGACTTGTGCCCCAAGAAATCCTGCTTTTAATCTCCCAGTACCAGGGATTTATGTCTGCTGGGCTTCCATTTACTGTTCAGGGCAGCTCTGGGTAACGCTGAGGGTGGTCCTCACAAAGCAGGTCTGAAGCCAAGGTAAAGTCTGTCCACTTTGTCAGGCTCTTTCTGGCCTCCTCCCCTCAGGCTGGGTGAGTTCAGCCTGCCCCACAGCAAACTTCACACCTTCCCTTCCTGGGTTGGGGCAACCGTTAGCCCAAACGATTTGCCCTGGAGGCACAGAACACCCCAGCCTGAGCCACAGCTCATTTCTACCTCACCACTGGTTTTCCTGCGGCGGGAATTCGGAGTTCATCCAGCAAGAGGTGACTAAGGGGACTTTCCATCCCAATACTCGCCGTGCTGAGGCTTGTTCACGACAGCTTTCTGCAGGTGCTGCGGTTCCTACCCAGGCCATGTGCACGGCCGGAGGGCAAAGAACTGAAGGGAAGGTAATTTGAATGCTATTTGCATTGACCCTCGTTATAAACACGTAATACACCGGACACACCCCAGCCATTCACACTGATCTTGTTTTATCACGGGAATTACTCCTGATGAAAGGAAATGCTTTGGAGTTTACAAAAACCAAAGTAGCCCCACTTTTCCAACCTGTTCAAGAGGCAGCAGCTCTTCCTTTAGATGATCCAGTTTCTGCAGCAGTTCCCTCTCTTTCCTGATCTGGTGATCTTCTAAATGCAGAGCCACAAACAGCCTGTGAACCACGGATTTGATATCTTCCATTTCAGTAGCACGCTCACTACTCAGCTTCTCTGAAAACGAAATGTTGGTCATACAAAGCGTTTCAAGAACCCGCCCTTCTTCACTCTCTCCCCACCTCCAACCCCAAAAACAGGACCATCCAATGGCTAATGAAGGAGAAACTCCTTTCTCCAGGCAGGTTCCAGTTTTCTGAGCCTTCCCCTCTCACTAGATGAACTGAATGAGTCAGTTACTGAGCACTGCTCTCACCTTTTACAGGAGGTGACACGCTGTACGCTGTGTTGTTGATCACCAGTTCAAAGTCCTTCATCAGTAAGAGCTCCATCAGGGTCGCGTCAGAGACCCTGCTACCATCTGCAGAAGAAATTATTACGTTCTAAATCATTTGTTGTAAGGAATCTTGAATGTTAGCTGATATCCCTTTGGTAAAGTGCTAGTTCTTTATTAAGAAGGAAGAAATTCTTCCTGGAGAGGGTGGGGAGGCACTGGGACAGGTTGCCCAGAGAAGCTGTGGATGCCCCATCCCTGGAAGTGTCCAAGGCCAGGCTGGATGAGGCTTGGAGCAACCTGGGCTATGGAAGGTGTCCCTGCCCATGGCAGGGGGTGGCACTGGGGGGGCTTTAAGGTCCCTTCCAACCCAAACCAGTCTGTGATCACATTCAAGAGCCCAACCGGTTGCCATTAAGAATGATCACAGAGGACACGGAAAGAAAAAGATACGAAGGAAACCAAAAGAGAGAGACACTTATTTAAAGACAATGGTACAAAGGGAAGCTACCTTAAAAAGACACTAGAGAACACTACTGGGATATAGGGATGGTTGCAGTAATACATCCAATTCTGCATTTTTGATCAGAGGACTCAGATATTTAACATGAATGACCAATAACCCCCAGAATCATTCAAGAACTACCCCAACAGCAACAAGGCTAAACCCGATGGAGGACTGAGCTCGCATATGAGGCACAGCCCATCTGAAAAGGGATGTATTCACTCTGAGAGTGACAGAGACATAAGGTACCTGTTGCCAAGACTTCTGCCCTCTCGATTCCTTTATCTTCCCTCTGCACATCTTTTTTTGGACGGCCCCGACAGTGGTAACCATTGGCTTAACAGTGAACCGACAGCGTTCACTTCTTGTGGGCAGCGTAAGAGTTATCACAGGAAGACCATGTCTGTAATTAATAGTCACTTCTGCGGGGAAAAAAAGGAGTGAAAGAGTCATATTGTAAGTTGCAGTTTAATTTTAAAACACAGGAAGAATGAAGACAACGACACAATACGTGATAGATTCCTTTAATGAACATAGTACTGCTACTTCTGGGACTAAGCTAGTAGATTTGAGATGGGACATCGGGAAGGAATTCTTCCCGCAGAGGGTGGTGAGGCACTGGGACAGGTTGCCCAGAGAAGCTGGGGATGCCCCATCCCTGGGAGTGTCCAAGGCCAGGCTGGATGAGGCTTGGAGCAACCTGGGCTATGGAAGGTGTCCCTGCCCATGGCAGGGGGGGGGGCTGGGTGGGGTTTAAGTTCCCTTCCAACCCAAACCCTTCTGGGATTCTGTGATATATATGCATATAACATGCAACTAACGTCATCTCATCCTACCCCCAAAAAATACATCAAAAGCTGTCAGGCTTTGGTGGGAGGGGGAAAACCTCCTGCTTACCGTTGGATTGCCGCAGCAGCGAGCTGTACGGTGCTC